CAGTCACGGCCTTAAGCATCAGGGTGATCTGCTTTTTGTACATGCGAACAGCTGCTTCGTGATCGGTCGGATATTCTTTCTATTGTAAAAGGATTCAAGTTCAGTACCCATGAAACCTTGATCACCGACAAGATACTTAGGATTCAGCTGGTATGTCTCAAAATACTCCAAAAGATGGCCAATCGTTTCTGCTTCAGTCTTGCCGTTACAAACGTAAGCAGTGGTCATAGAAGTGGCACCATCATAGATGATCAGGGAAAGAAGTTTGGACTTGTCATTGATTGCTAGTTCACCATGATCAACAAAAGTGAGTTCCCCAAACGTTTCACTTCTCATACCTGAAATTCGTGATCTTGAAGGTGCAATTTTTGACTTCTGGCATATATCGCACTGCTTGACTACCTTTTCATACTCTTCATAGATCTTGGCAGGAATCTTTAAAGCTGACGTTCGTTTCTTGAACTGCTCAGTTGACATGTGATAGTGCTTCAAATGCAGTTTCAGGAGTTCGGTTGGATGAGACAGCTTTTCATGGATTCTCTGCAGTGCTAACGGCAATGGTACTGAAACCTTAGGAGCTTTCTTCTCTCGATGCACTGTTGTTGGTATTGGTTTCACGTCTTCCTTTGATTCTTCCTGAGGATCAGGCTTCACCGGCATGTCAGGTTCTGCTGGAAGTACGTCAGGCTTCCCGGCTCCTGAGCTAGAACTTGGAATCTTCGAATGCTCGAATGGCGTACCAAAATCAGGTGACTTTTCTGTCTTCCGGTATGTCGGAGGTGTCACCTTTTTAGCCGGTGGAGGCATCGAAATCAGCTTCGATGGCGAATCGACTTTGGCATCTCCACTTGCAATGTGCTTCTCTGGCTTCTTAGCCGGAATATCGGCTGCTGACTTGTCTTCCTTCACTTCGGATGTCTCTGCCTTCTTGCATCCATCTTTCTATGTATGCTTCCGATGCTTTCCACTGCAGGCAGGACAGGCTCCATACGAAGGATTGATTGCAGTGAAGCTGTGGTTCGGCTTACGAACTGAGCTGGCAAACATCATGATGTCTAGGACATTATGGTTCGAAGTGCTCACTGGCAGCGAAAATCGCTTCAGGCCGAACAAAGGACAAGTCAAATAGTCACCGACTGGAGTATGCTCAATTGACATGCGAAGGTTCCTGAGCTGTTCAACGCTAAAAAGAATCGGAACATCGCCTTGGTCTAAGATATCTATCGCTGTTGTGATCCACCCTGTGGGTGACTGGTCGTTCTGGAAGTAGATTACCAGCTTCTCTCGGACGTTGGACTGTTCACCGTTTGCGAATGAAAATCGACTTGACGAAGGCTCAAAAGAGAAATCAATCTTAGATGCATTGTAGTGTCTCTTACATGCCTTCACTAGACGCATAATGGCGGTCCTTGAACCCATTGCTCTGGTACAGCCGCTGTCAATGATCACGTAGGTCGGACTGTACCTCAGGTCGATGTATTCGGAAAGCAAAGCATGGTGAAATCCATCGTCAAAATTAACAAAAGAAGAACAGAAGCGTGGATCAATCACTTCAGAACAACCGGAATGTCGGTAGTCTGTACTGCTACCGGCAGGGTTTAGGTGATACTGATGTGAAACATGTTCTTCACCAGTCATTTCTTCTGCATGTGTTCCGTAATACCGGAAATCTGCTGACTGGCTGACTGGTTCATCTGGTCAGGCCTTGTCTCTGAGCTATGGTGCTCTTCATCTTGCGGTCTGTCCGTCTGTCCGTCCGCAAAGTATGTCCATTGTTGCCAAGTGGCTTCATTTGCCTGCCAGACTTCTTCTGGATAGTACTGGTCAGTGTGATATCCATACGAGTCCCATGACCAATTTGCTTCATGTGCACTCCAAGTTTCTTCGGCGTTAGAAGTTGGTTGAGCGGATGAAGGCTCTTCGGTGGTTGCAACATTGGATTGTTGAAAGGGGTTCTGTTGTTTGCTTTTTCCTTTGCCTTTGAATGCATCTTTTCCCTTGAATCCTTTCTTTCCACCTTTCTTTCCTTTCTTGCCTTTTCCGTAGAAACCTGAGTTGTCAGGGTACTCTGCGTAATGTGCCCCTGCACCTTTGCCTCTGCGGCTGACAAAGCCGGGTCTTCTACCTTTTCCGCGGCCTTTTCCTTTGCCGCCTTTGGATGGTTTTCTGAATCTTCTTCCATGGATTCTTCTACGTGTGTATCCTCCTTTTGCTGCTAACACCCAAAATTCGGATTCTGAGAACAAACTCACAAATCCTTCTTCGCCTGTTTCTTGATCCATCACCCAGTATCCGGATTCTTCTTCCAAGTCTCCTTCATCGAGGACAAGGAAAGTGGATCTTCTTTGCCTGCGGATCGAAGGATCGGCAGTTCCTGTGGCGGTTCCGCAAAAGAGATCAAGGAATAAGCCTTTGACACCTAAGTATGTGTAATTGTTCATGTTGATCTGACGCAAGGCCATGCTGGCTACAAACCTTTCTCTCTGCTGTTCATTGAGATCTGACTGAACTAGGAAAATAAGTGACATCAAGTTGTCAGACAATGGGAAGGTGTCACGATGTGCTTGTTTCAAGGTATCAATGTGTTCAGAACGGATTCTTTCTGCAGCTTCTCTTCTTTCTGCGGGATCTTGAAGTCCTTGAAGTAGCATGTACTGCTGTTGCGAGAGGATATCAGTAAAGTTGAAATCATCGGGCTGTGGAACAGTCGAAAGATCTAACAAGCCCATGAAGGCTTCCATGACTTTCTTACTTGCGACTTCAAAACGAGCGATCCAGCTGACAAATTCCCCGTTTCCGCGCCAGGTCCTGAAGAGCTGCATGAAACGCCAAAGAAAAACATGATTTGCTCCTTTGAAAAAGTATGGGCGCAACGTCTCCTTGAAATACGTAATGCCGTTTCTTTCATGACGAAGCTGTTCATTGTCGAGCATCTTTTTGTAGTATTCGGCGTTTCCGGTTAGAGCGTTCTTCAATGATGGGCCTAATTTTTCGGCGCTTAAGGTGGTGATGTTCACCCAGTCATCAATCAAATCTTCAAACTCGAACCAGGATGACTGTCCATCGAATGACGGAGGAATTTTTGGCGTCATCTTGACACCTGCTGATGGCTGTGCCTCGTACGTCCGGTATGTCGAACTCGAGGACCTTCCATGTTGTTGGCGATGACGCGTGCCTTGAGCGGCGAAAGCGTCTTCTGGATCAGTTGCTTCCGACAGGCTGTCGTCATGCTCTTCGTCCGTATCTATGTTAAAGATCTGGACCATGGTCTAATTGTTTTCTGACAAGTGACTTACTTGGTTGTCCCCTGTCCGGAATATCGGACGATTCGGCACGAAGGCAAAATCGACCAATGCGAAGCAGGAGACACAAGCTCCGCTACCACTTTGAGGGTAAGTTCCCCCAGAAGTGGCAGTTGGTTAACTGGACCTGATCGAAACACCAAGTGAAGTCACACAAGTGCGTTTGGTGTGCGAGCGGCAGCGATGCACACCTTTTCTATGACTGCGGATGCAGGTATTGGGCTACGAAGTCTTGAGCCAAATGAATTAAGTCGAAAGCGGACTGAAGAGCTGCTAACTAGGATATGTACAAGAACAGGTGCTACACACGTATAGCGTAGACACGCCTAGGGGGACCTAGGACCCTACTAAACACAGGGCCCCCCCCCTTTCAACTCCACCCTAGCGCGCCTCCGGGTCAACGGTTCGAAAACACTGTAAATATCAGTGTTTTCAGCTCTTCCAGTCCTCAGCAGTGACCAAAAATCATGGAATTTACAGCGTTTTTTGTGGCTGTCCGGCCAAAAACACCGCAAAAACCGATGGTTTTTGACGCGTCTCGGTTAGAAAAATGACCGAAAAAAGACCAAAAACCAGGAAAGATTTTGTCAGAGAGGGTTTTTGAGGCTTTTGGAGGCTTCAAAATTGCACAAAACTATGGTATTTACAGGGTTTTGTGCACCTTCCCGGCAGAAAACACCGGTATTTACACGGTTTTCTGCGCTTTTCCAGCGCTCAACCGTGGTGCGCCTTTGGATCGACGGCTACAAAATACCGTAAATACTAGTGTTTTCAGCTCCTCCTGTCTTCAAGCGTGGCCTTAGACCTTGCCGCGGCTGTGGATCGACGGCAACGAAACCTCGTAAGTACCAGTGTTTTTGAGCACGTCCTGTTTGCAAGCATGGCCTGCGGCCACGCAATTTACAGGGTCGCCGCACGTCACTATGTAAATCCGAAGTTGCGTTTGAGAAATATGTGACTCCTTTTGAAGGCACGTCAACCTGTATTGAAACCGCTAGACCGCTACAGCTTCTGGAGGTTTTGTCAAGCGTTTGTGCATTAGTTTTTTTTCATCGCGCTCACTCACCTCTCTTCAAACAAGTGGGGGGCCTCTCACCTCCTCCCGGATTACGCCTGATTCCCTGCTACCTTTCGTTCACCCCCCTCCTCTCTCAAGTTTATGTAACCTCTTGCTTTGTTCTGTTTATATACTTCAAGTATTGAAGTTGCATCGATTTCATGGACGGGTCGCATGAAATGGGGGAGAGCATCGCCTGGCGGGTCGCATGGACTCGTCGGAAGAGACAGATGAGACTCTGACAACAAATAGATGTTGCATGTCACACATGATACCCCAACAGAAACGCAGTTCGTTAGGTTTCCATTGAGACTGGTCGGGGCATACAGATCATGATTCATGATTTCAAGACCGGTGTTCCATGATTTGGGGGCTGCAGTGTCGAGGCGTTTCCATGGGGATCCAGAGTCCAGGTCCTGACTTTTCTGCCTCTTGTGTAAACAACGGGTTCGATATCCTGGAAAGAACATGAAAGAACCGATCCTGCCTTTCACTTTTGCCTGTAGCTGATATGACGGGATTTTGGTCACACATGATACACACTGTTCAATCGGAAGTCAACTGTTTGTCGGAGACTGTGTTTCAAGCCAGAACACAGTAGGTGGACACCGTTATTATTGTGGTGCTTTTGTTTGGCCTAGGTAATTCACGCAGGACACTACGGACACTATGGCTGCACATTTTGCTTTATTCCTTTGGTTGAACTTTGGATGTTTGTCAGCTTTTTCATGCTTTCTCATGTTCTTTCCGTGTTGGTTTTCATCCATGGTTTTTGCAACACTTGTTGTTATCCACCTGCTGTTCACAGGGAGCATCATCAGGTCGGAAGCAACTTTTTTCGGTCGACTTGGTCGCAGTTGCTCCGAGGTGATGACAGCGACTTCAGCGGAACGAGTGGAAGTTATGTGACTGGAGCTATGGGTGGAAGCTATGGGAACGACGTGAGCCACGTGGCTCAAAATTCTCAGCTTTCGGTCACCCCAGAAGACTTGTCCATACTTGTCCACCCCATGTTGCTAGCAGGCCTCAAGTCATGGACGTGACATGAAGTGATGATTACTCGTTGCCCTGAGTGGCAAAAGATCTACTATATATCAAACTGCTCATAATCATGAGAACATGGCATTCAAAAGGGCGTTTCTTTGTCACCTCAGTTGCGCACCGATATTCTCGACATGGCAGGCCACGTTGTTCACCACTTTGTTCACTGAGAGGACAAGGAGAACTGATGGGGTCACCCGGATGAAAGAGCATTCGAGGATGCCACTTCTGCGACTGAAGCGTGCTCGATTTGAAAGCGCATCCTTGTGTGAAGTGACGAGGTTACTGTTGGAAGGGATGTAAGTGCTCTGAAGCAGAGTCTTGCAACATTTGTGCTGCATGGCTGCCTGGCTGATCTAGAGACCAAACTCTAGAGATCAAACTTGTACAGTATTTTTTTCAGATGGACCCTGGACCCCTTAAGAGACGGAGACCTTCAGAGACGGAGACAGAGTGACGGACCGAGGCCAAGATTTTTTGTCTCAAATCGGAGACTTTCTTACGGTTCACTGGCTTGTCTGGCTCAGCGACCCTGCTGGGCTTGTTTTTGGCCACGTGAATGAGTAGACGGTGAACCTGGCTCATCCAATGGATCAGCAGGTTTGATGCTGTTAGTTGTTTGGCGAAGTTCCAAGCTTTGACACCTTGATTTTCGACTGGCTCGCTTGTTAGAACAAAGAAAAAGGCCAAAGTTTGACAGGTGGGACAGGCAGAAATCATGGGTGAAGCTACTAATGGACATGTTCTCTTTTGAATGCAATGTAATATATATATATAATATGATATAAATAGTATAATGTGAAGACGTTTCAATGTAAACAAGAGATAGACCACTGCTCAGCGCCTTAAGTTCGCATGGTAGCGGAGCAAGGATAAGGGCAACCCCCTTTGAGCTCCAAAGAAAAGCCCCTAGGTCACTGGGATCCCGGGAGCGTTTTCGAGAGATAGATTTGGGGCCTTTGGAACCCAAATAGCTGAACTGGTGATAAATTGTTGTGAGCGACACTCTGTACCCCGTACGTTGTGTCAAAGAGACGTTACTGTGCAGTAGAGAAGGAGGAGATCAGAGAAACCCTTACAGTCATAGTGCAGTGTACGCAAGTAACATATCAGCAGCTGAAGAAAGCAGTTGAAGACAAGAAGTCGACAGCAACTGATTGGTCAAAGCTGATAGCAGAGCCGAACGTTTTTGATTATAAGTGGCAAGAAAAAGAGATCAACGCACTTAGAGAGTGGTCATGGGAGCTTGAGAAGTGTTTGAGCTCAGTTGACTCAGTTAACGAGGCTTACATGAAAGACTTGAAAGAACCTCATGACAAGCCAAATGAGAAACTTGACATGGACTTGGCAACTGGAGATGAGAAGACCAGGTGCATCAAGCTCTATGGATTGCTAGCTTCCTTGATGAGGGGCAGATCGCTACAAGTGGCTAAAGCTGTGGAGGACTCCAATGGGTTTGATGCCTGGAGGAGTTTGAATAAAGCTTTGAAACCTATTTCAAAGGCTAGAGGACTAGCGCCTTTGGGAGCAGCCACTAATTGGCTAGCATTTTCAAAGAACAGTGCAATACAACCGCTGGAAGAAGTATCTGACGAGACGGCCAAGGCAAGGACGACAGTTCAAGAAGAGTTGAAATCTGCTACTCTTGTGAGATGTGTATAGGTGGACAGCTCAAATCATACTTGAGCGAGTTTAACAATTGGCGACATTGTTCAACACGCAACTTTGAGGGAACAAGTGTTGCAGTGGGATCGTTGTCAGCAGAAGTGGGCTACTTCAATGGTTGCAAGTAGCAGTACTGCCAATGGACTTCGATCGAGTCCCAAGATGCCAAAGGAAGGGGCAAAAAGGGCAAGAATGATCATCAAAAGGGCGCAGGTAAGGATGCCCAAGGCAAAGGAAAGAAGGGAAAAGGAGAACAGAAAGGAAAGGAAGGTGATCGCAAGGGCAAAGGCAAAGGCAAAGACCAGAAAGGGACAAGGACATCTTGCTCGAGACTGTTGGGGAAACACTATTCGACAGGTTGCAAATGCGATCTTCAGGAGGAGCATCAGCCAATGTTAGCCAGCGGAGTAACTCAGCAGAGACCAAACCAGTGGTCAGAAGAATTGAGAACTGCGGGCCAAGCATCTTTGACTTGCGAGAAAGGGATGACGAAGTAGAAGGTCATGGAATTCGGGTGATTCACTTCTACGTTGGAGATGATGATGATGATGATGATGATGAGCAAGATTTAAGGATGTGGCCATCACTAGTGACAGTGGAGCTGATGTGGCATTATTCCCTTTGAGTATGGCAGGTCATGGGGAAGGTGAAGTGGAGTTCAACACAAAGGCCAAGCTACAAAATGCGCAGGGGAACCGTCTCCCCGCCGGGGGTGCGAAAAGTGCTGAGGTTTCCTGGCGTGACATTGATGGTCGTGAAGTACTTCTCAAAGAGCATGTGATCTTCAGTTCAAAGGTAAATCAACCCATACTTTGTGATGGAAGACTGATGGAGCATGGTTGGGGAATACATGGTCGACAGCAAACCTTGGAGCATGGCGACTTGAAGGTACCGCTCAACTTGCAAAATCGCCCTTTGACAGTTCAAGGCCACGTTAGAGTCATTCGAGATGAAGGTTAAAGCTGCTTGGAGGCACAAGCGCCTGAAGCTTTGGAAAAGGCAGCAGGTTGGAGATTCAACGAGCGTGGACTTCTAGTTGCAAGCGAATTGACTTCAAGTTGATCCCACATTCATTCGAGAAGTGGAAGGTTCACCAGAGCTGATGAACACCACTGTGGTGAAAAGCGGAGGTACAGTAGATGGCTAACGCATGAAATGAGCAATTCTTTGACAGATGATGATGATGATGATGATGGTGATGCAGTCATTCCTTCAACCGCAATCTTCAGCTATGTGCCAGCGCTGCCAGAAGATATGGGATTCTTTGCGCCAGGATGCTTGAGGACAGAGATGAGAGAAAGAAAGAAGCGGAGAAGGCAATCGAGAAGGTTACCCCTACTCATACCCCACCGGAGAAGGAGGTACAAGACAAGAAAGAGAGGACAAGAAAGATGAAGGCCTTGAACGCGAACTACAATTGAGCGCAATGGATGTAGACCAAGCCTTAGTGAATGGAGTAGAGTTGGCAAAGGGTTCTGCTTTAGCAACTTTGAGGGCGGCGTGTGGCGTTTCAGGCAGTGGCTCTAGGCTAAAGGTCTACACTAAGATCCTCAATCGCAACAAGAAGATGGAACTCTTGAATGCTAAACGCTTGGTGAGAGAAAGATTGGCTATGAATCCACCCAGGTAACTACATCCAGCAGATGCTGAAAGCCTATGAAGAGCAGGTTGGAAGGATCAAGCTCCAGCAACTACCATCAAACAATTACTTAAGTTCAGATGAAAGACAAATCAGAAGTTTGCGCGGGCAAGAAAAGATTAGCCTATCCAGAAGCACTGTTGGTTCAGGTATCTACCTATATGTCAAGAGAGGTATGATGTGGCATTGCAGTGAAGGAATTGGCTTCAAGGGTATTACGTCCAACAACTATGTCATTTCATCGCTTGAAGCTCGTAGGATACTTGAAGAAGACTATGGACTACTGTCTAGCAGGAGAAGACTATTTGAAGGAGAAAGCTACTGGCGCTGGGAAACACTCTCCGACTCAGACTGGAGTGGAGGCAAAAGCCACAGAAAGTCAACGTCAGGAGGATTCCATGCATTGAACAGTTGTCCAGTCTTCAATAGCAGCAGGACGCAGAAGATCGGCAGCTTGTCTTGATGTGAAGCAGAGGTGCGCACTAGTTTCTTCAGCGTCAGATGGAATATGCGTTCGCTCAGTTCTTGAGTTTGCGCTCGGGACCAAGGTGGACCATTACATTTTCACAGATTCTTCAAAGTGCACGCCAACTTGTGGTGAAGAGAGGATTTGGAAAAGTGAGACATTTGGATGAAAAGTTGCTTTGGATTCAGAGCAGAGAAGACTTCAATATGGTGCAAGCACCAACAGACAGCAACGCGGCAGCATCAATTCCAAACCACTTGGAGGACGAAGAATCAGATAGTTGATGAACCTCATTGGTTATTGGCACGGTGAAGAGCAAACAAGAGTGGGTGAGCGTGAGAGAAAGGTATATGAAGAGGAAAGGAACTTTGCAGGAAAGTTCAACAAGATTGTCAAGATCGTTGTCAGAACGGTAGCGTTTGAGGGCTTGCAGCCAATGGTTACAGGAGATTCATAACAGAAAATGAGATAAACCATTGCAAACTGGAAGTGGGAGACCCCAATAGAAACCGGAAGATTGTAATCGTCGTGATCATTATCATTGGTTTTGCAGCAATGAGCTTTGCAATGTGGCTGCTTTACAGACACTTTGAGCACAAGTACACAGTGTTGAGAGATTTATTCTTCAACAGAGCAAATGAAGTAGAATTCAGGATGGTGGAGATTGAATATACGATTGACCAGAAAGATAGGATGAACGCAGGATAGACAATCTGGTGGCGTAGGGGATTCCATAGTGAAGCTTTGTAGAACAAGATGAACCAGACACTCTCCAAATAATCAGCTAATATGCGTGGAACTTCTTAGCCAGAATGAGCTTGGAAGACATGAGATCAACAGAAGAACAATCATGGTCATCGTGTGTTGTGTTGTTACAAGCAGCTACCCAAGGAGCAATTCCTACAGAAGGGCTTCTGTCGAGAAGATTCAAACCAGGAAATAGGGAACAGAGGATCGGAGAAGAATATGAAAGAGATCAGCTGTATGGTCGACTTGAGAGGAAGGTTGAGCAACTGAGAGCAAGAAAAATATTCTTCTAGGAAGAGGAGAAGAAGGTCGAGCAGACACAGTTGCGTATGAGAAAGATCGATATGAAAAAACTGCTTGAATTTGTGGAGCAGAAAAGAGACCACCCAGAAAGCGTTCCACCAGAAGTCTCCAGGAACCCCGCTCTTGAGAGAATGATTAACCCATCAGAAGGATAATGGAAGCAGAGTGGACTACGGCGGCAGAGTGATCTAAAATAGCAATTCGAGCGCTCACACTACCGAGGAGGAGTGTGAACAAATTTCAATTGTAAACTATAGCTAGCATGTAGATTATGTATAGCATTCTTTGACCACTGCGCAGCCCCTTTTGGACTTAGGAAAAAGTTTGCATTAAGTGTATATATATAGTAGAATAAACACGGAAAATACATTGTATCACGCTTGATTCTAGCGCGTAGTCGCCGCAGAGCTCTTTGCGTGTCTATGCCATGTAGCTCTGCCTCGAACTGGGGATTCGAATCATCCAAACTCTGACTAGCCGCTAGCCTGGGACATTGACTGGTGACTGCGACATTGATCATCCAGAACCACATGAAATTCTTCCACAGACATTGAGAGACCTTCTAGATACGCTCATCAAACAATTGAGAACCTCGGGTCTTCCCCCGCATCAAACGTCTCATGAGAACCTCGGGCCGGGCGCACACGCCTTAAGCGTCCTCAAGAGATTGGACAACTGTCCGCATGGTGGTGTTGGACAACTAGTGAGCGAAGATTCTCTGAAGGTGATTGTGGGCGATGCCATTTCGATTCAACTCCCTTGCTGCCACAGTGCTCAGAAACTTTCTTCCAATTCCGCCACACCGCAGCCCTTCATCCGCCATTCCTGCAACGGCCCTTCATGGCAGGCGCT